ACTACCACTATCACCACCACCACCACTACCACTACCACTATCACCACCACCACCACTACCACCACCACCACCAGCCATAAACATCAACTATAAATCACATCGTCCCGCCTACCCCCGCAGTCAGTATTCTCAAGGTCTTACGCGATCTCTCTCTGCTGGTGAGGCTCATAACATGGCGCCGATAATGCAATGAGACTGTAAGATCATCCTGAAGTCACCTGGTCACTAATTATGGAAAAGATGAAGGTAACAGAATAAATTGATTAAGATAGTTTAAGGTGAATTTATATCAGTGGGTGGGTGAGGTGGTAGGGAGGTGCGGCTATGTGGGTGGCATTCCTAAAAACATGATCTTTTTTTTTTCTTCTTCCCATTCATTCCTTTTCCCTCCTCCCATCTCTCCCCTCCTCCCATACACTCTCTCTCTCTCTCTCCTCCCTACCTCCTCATTCACTCTCCCTGGGTCTGTTCTTCCTTTATTCATGATATATCTGCTTTATTCAGCCCGGCTTGGCTTTTTTTCTCTGTGTAGACTTGCCCGACCACAAATCGCTTAGGTAAACATTGTAATTCTCTGGCGTGGGGCGAGTCAGTCAGTCAGTCAGTGAGGGTGGGGGGGGTGGTGGGTCGGTGGGTGGGTGGGTGAGGTGGGGTCGGGTGGGGTGGGGTAAGGGTGGGTGGTAAGGGTCAGAAGGTGTGTGTGGGTGGGTGGCTGCGTCTAGCCTTTTAGGGGTTTATCTGTCCTGTTTAGTTGGTTGTCTATCTGTCTGTCTGTCTGTCTGTCTGTCTGTTTGTCTGTCTATCTGTCTGTTCAGCAGTTCGTTCTCTCCTTAGTTTATTATTCAGTCCGTCTATTCTCTCTAATTTTCTGTCTATCCTCCCGTTTATCTGTTCTCGCGTCCGTCTCTTCTGTCACAGGTCTTTTATTCTTCTTTCTGTCTGTCTGTCCTTTCAACTGTCCGTCCATTCGTTCTATCTTATTATCTCTGTCTTTCTTTTTCTCTCTTTATCAGTCTATCTTCTCCGTCTGTCATGACTTTCTTACTGACAGCCGCCGCGAACCTGTCAATGTCTGTCTCTACAAATAGCTGGTGTCTGTCTGTCTGTCTGTCTGTTTTTCCTAATTGTCGTTTTAATATCTACTGTAAGTTTTCATCTGCATCTGATTCTTATTTCAAGAAGAAGAAGAAGAAGAAGAATAGTATAGCGCCGTCTAGAAGCTCCAGGTAACCCTCCCTTCGGTGTCTCGGGACAGGTAACATACTAGGTATTTCCCCCTCTAGAGTTGAGGAGAGAGAGAGAGAGAGAGAGAGAGAGAGAGAGAGAGAGAGAGAGAGAGAGAGAGAGAGAGAGAGAGAGAGAGAGAGAGAGAGAGAGTCATCCCGTTGGTAGCGTCATGGTGGTTAATGAGTACAGCAATATGTCAGCTTGGCACCACCACACCACCACACCACCACACCACCACTCCACACCACCACCACCACCACCTTTATCACAGCTGGTGGTTATAAGATGTATTTATTTACTTACGGTAAAATTTTCCGGCAAATTTTTCACTGTTTGTATTTTAACTTTTCACTCTGATGTAAAAAAAGGATCATGCGTTAATAATCTTTTAATTACAAGTAAATGGAGATTAAACAACGGATCTAATTGCTTAATTTAAACTCTAGGTATAATGTGTAAGTAATTATATAGACGAACTGCAGATTCTGAAACATTTGTGCGTCATTGTCTTTATTAAATTTATAATGTGATCACAAAACACAGTGGTCGTATTCTAAGATGGAGTAATGATCAAGATTTCTCGTAAGTGACTCGATAAGTTGTTTGCTCCCAGGTGACTTAAGGTAACATTGAGGTAAAAGGTTCCTCTGAGAATTCGTCATCGTGGTCGTCAGGAAATTAGCGTCTGTCTGTGTGTCTGTCATGTTGCAAGAGGAAATTGTTCTCTTTATCTCCATGACGACGGAACCTGCAATTTACCAGTTGACATTTTAATATCCACCGTCTTGTTGTTTTCTTTTTATGTTATTTATTATAATACACACACAGAGAATTACATATTTATTCATTTTTTTCTTCCAGTGAGACAATTATGTGGTTGGTCAAACATGCAGAGGTAATTATCGCTTATAAGGGAGTAGTTTACCATTATGTGGCCGTGATGATAATGATCTTTCTTATCAAGTTAGTAAATTTTGGCAGCTCACGCGACGCGACCCGCTACGTCAACAAACATCTGGTGCAAACACTGTGGCAACCAAACATCTGGTGCAAACACTGTGTTAACCAAACATCTGGTGCAAACACTGTGGCAACCAAACATCCGGTGAAAACACTGTGGTAACCAAACGTGTGTTACAAACACTGTGGTAACCAAACGTGTGTTACAAACACTGTGGTAACCAAACGTGTGTTACAAACACTGTGGTAACCAAATGTGTGCTACAAACACTGTAGTAACCAAACGTGTCACAAACACTGTGGCAACCAAACATCTGGTGCAAACACTGTGGCAACCAAACATCCGGTGAAAACACTGTAGAAACCAAACGTGTGTTACAAACACTGTGGTAACCAAACGTGTGTTACAAACACTGTGGTAACCAAACGTGTGTTACACACTGTGGTAACCAAACGTGTGCTACAAACACTGTAGTAACCAAACGTGTCACAAACACTGTGGCAACCAAACATCTGGTGCAAACACTGTGGCAACCAAACAAACATTGGATGTAAACACAATGTGATAAATAAACAACTAAACACGTGATACAGCTATAGTAAACGAACAAACATGTGGCATAAACATTAATTTAACGGACGCTCAGTTTAATGGGCCCACTGAGGATAGGTTAGGTTAGGTGGTGGTGGTGGTGATGGGTGGCGTGGTGGTGGGTGGCGTGGTGGTGGGTGGCGTGGCAGTGGTGGTGGCGTGGTGGTGGGTGGCGTGGTGGTGGGGTGCGTGGTGATGGGTGGCGGCAGTGGTGGTGGTGGTGGGTGGCGTGGTGGTGGGTGGCGTGGTGGTGGCGTGGTGGTGGGTGGCGTGGTGGTGGGTGCGTGGTGATGGGTGGCGTAGACGGGTGGCGTGGTGATGGGAGGCGTGGTGATGGGTGGGTGGTAGTGGTGGTGGCGTGGTGGTGGGTGGCGGGTGATGGGTGGCGTAGTGATGGGTGGCGTAGTGACGGGTGGCGTGGTGATGGGTGGCGTGGTGACGGATGGCGTAGTGGTGGAGTAATTATGGGTGGCGTGGTGATGGGTGGCGATGATGGGAAGCATGGTGATGGGTGGCGTGGTGATGGTGGCGTAGTGACGGATGGCGTAGTGGTGGAGCAATTGGCGGTGGCGTGGTGATGGGTGGCGGTGATGGTGGCGTCGTGATGGTGGCGTGGTGGTGGGCGCCGTGGTGGTGGTGTGGTGATAGGTGGGTGATAGGTGGCGGTGATGGATGGCGTGGTGATGGGTGGCGAGTGGGTGGCGTAGTGGTGGTGGCGTGGTGGCGGGTGGCGTGGTGATGGGTGGTGGTGACGGATGGCGTAGTGGTGGAGTAATTATGGGTGGCGTGGTGATGGGTGGCGATGATGGAAGCATGGTGAGCATGGGTGGCGTGGTGATGGGTAACGTCGGTGGAGTAATGATGGGTGGCGTGGTGACGGGTGGCGTGGTGATGGGTGGCGTAGATGGGTGGCGTGGTGATGGGTGGTGGTGATGGGTGGCGTGGTGACGGGTGGCGTAGTGGTGGTGGCGTGGTGACGGGTGGCGTAGTGGTGGTGGCGTGGTGATGGGTGGCGTGATGGGAGGCGTAGTGGTGATCATTGGAGGCGTAGCGGTGATGGAAGGCCTAGTGGTGATGGGTGGCGTAGTGATGGGTGGCGCAGTGACGGGTGGCGTGGTGATGGGTGGCGGTGACGGATGGCGTAGTGGTGGAGTAATTGCGGGTGGCGTGGTGATGGGTGGCGATGTGATGGGAAGCATGGTGATGGGTGGCGTGGTGATGGGTGGCGTAGTGACGGATGGCGTAGTGGTGGAGTAATTATGGGTGGCGTGGTGATGGGTGGCGTGGTGATGGGTGGCGTCGTGATGGGTGGCGTGGTGGTGGTGCCGTAGTGGTGGTGTGTGGTGATAGGTGGGTGGTGATAGGTGGCGTGGTGATGGATGGCGTGGTGATGGGTGGCGTAGTGATGGGTGGCGTAGTGGTGGTGGCGTGGTGGCGGTGGCGTGGTGATGGTGGCGGTGACGGATGGCGTAGTGGTGGAGTAATTGGGTGGCGTGGTGATGGGTGGCGATGTGATGGGAAGCATGGTGATGGGTGGCGTGGTGATGGGTAACGTCGTGGTGGAGTAATGATGGGTGGCGTGGTGACGGTGGCGGTGATGGGTGGCGTAGTGATGGGTGGCGTGGTGATGGGTGGTGTGGTGATGGGTGGCGGGTGACGGGTGGCGTAGTGGTGGTGGCGTGGTGACGGGTGGCGTAGTGGTGGTGGCGTGGTGATGGGTGGCGGTGATGGGAGGCGTAGTGGTGATGGGAGGCGTAGTGGTGATTGGAGGCGAAGCGGTGATGGAAGGCCCAGTGGTGACGGGTGGCGGTGGTGGTGGCGTAGTGGTGGTGCGTGGTGATGGGAGGCGGAGGCGGTGATGGAGGCGTAGTGGTGATGGGAGGCGTAGTGGTGATGGGAGGCGAATGGTGATGGAAGGCCTAGTGGTGATGGGAGGCGTGGTGATGGGTGGCGTGGTGATGGGACGCATAGTGGTGATGGGAGGCGTAGCGGTGATAGAAGGCCCAGTGGGATGGGAGGCGTAGTGGTAATGGAAGGAGTGTGATGGGAGGCGTAGTGGTGATGGGTGGCGCGATGGGAGAAGTAGTGGTGATGGGTGGCGTGGTAATGGGTGGTGTGGTGATGGGAGTAATGAGATGGGAGGCGTAGGTGGTGATGGGTGATGGGAGGCGTAGTGATGGGTGACGGTGGTGTGGGTGGGGTGGTGTGGGTGGGTGGTGATGGGTGGCGTGGTAATGGGTGGCGTGGTGATGGAGGAGTAATGAGATGGGAGGCGTAGTGGTGATGGGAGGCGTAGTGATGGAGGCGTAGTGATGGGAGGCGTAGTGATGGGTGACGTGGTGGTGATGGGTGGCGTGGTGGTGATGGGAGGCGTAGTGATGGGTGACGTGGTGGTGATGGGTGGCGTGGTGGTGATGGGTGGCGTGGTGATGGGAGGCGTAGTGATGGGAGGCGTAGTGGTGATGGGAGGCGTAGTGGTGATGGGAGGCGTGGTGGTGATGGGTGGCGTGGTGATGGGTGGCGTGGTTTTGTTGACAGTGGCTCACAGGTACACGCCACCTTCCTAGATATTGATCAAGAGGCCCCCTTCTGCTTCCCTACCTCTGTCTATATATACAGTATATGTCTGTTTGTCTGTACCTCTGAATTTCTGTCTGCCTGTCTCTGTTTGTATGTCTGTATGTGTGTTTCTCTGATTGTCTGTCATTCTGTCTGTCTGTGTTGTTATGTTCACTTTTATTCTCTCTCTTTATTACCGTCTGTTTTCCCCCAATAAATTATTAATCTCCCTTACCTCAGGAAATAACCTACAGTAATCTCATTAAAATTCTACAAAATCAATAAAACTTACGAAGAATTTTTTTATGAAGGAACCCTTAAGAATCTTGGTTTAGTATCCTATGAAATCAATGAAAGTTTCGAGAAAATTCTATCGTAAGAACTTTTGAAAATCCGGAGTCTGGCGTTAAGTCGAAATTGTTACGATGATGTTACGTCATTCGGTTGTAGTGACGACTGTGTGACGGGATCTTGGTGACGATGACGGAACATCCTTCAGCAGTCACGGGTTGATACTGGTAGCCTGGTAGGTGGGCTATCCTCTCTACCATACATCGGGTGGGCATAGGTTAGGTTAGGTTAGGTTAGGTTAGTGCCGTGGGGATATTGGTTAGTTCTGTGGAGGCACTGGTTGGTACTGTGGAGGCATTGGGGCTGTGGGGGCATTGGTGCTGTGGGAGGGCATTGGTGCTGTGGAGAGAGAGAGGGGGGGGATGGTGGTTAGAAGTAGACTCAATCTACTAATGAGAAAATGTAGACAGTTTTAATCTACCTGGCAGGTGAGGGTGAAAGTCGAACGAATAGGCTCCTTAGCTAAACGACACCTGAAGCATTTACAAGTGACGTTCAATTGCAAAACACCATCTCAGTACATGTAGAGAGAGAGAGAGAGAGAGAGAGAGAGAGAGAGAGAGAGAGAGAGAGAGAGAGAGAGAGAGAGAGAGAGAGAGAGGAAATGACAGTCATACAAGGTACTAATTCTATTTTGTCGTAGCTACAAGTCCTTCTCAGAATACACTTGAGTAGCCGACTCTCTTGAATGGACCTGTGATTAGTTAGTTATCTCACCCTGGACGAGCGAGTGGCTTAATCTCCGTCAGGGGGGAGAGTGAGTTGGTTTAAACCACGTGATAGTTCTTGACCCACCCGAGTGTAACTGCAGATATTGACCAATCAGAGTCAAAACAAGGACTATATTGACCCCTCAGAGTACAAACAACATCTATATTGACCAATCAGAGTACAACAACAACTATATTGACCCATCAGAGAACAACAACATGAGCTATTGACTCATCAGAGTACAATAACAGAAGATAGTGACCCATCAGAATACAACAACAACTATATTGATCCATCAGAGTTACAATAACAGCAGATATTGACCCATCAGAGTACAATAACAGCAGATATTGACCCATCAGAGTACAACAACAACTATATTGACCCATCAAAGTACAATAACAGCAGATATTGACCCATCAGAGTACAACAACAACGATATTGACCCATCAGAGTACAACAACATGAGATATTGACTCATCAGAGTAAACAATAACAGAAGATATTGACCCATCAGAGTACAACAACAGATATTGACCCATCAGAGTACAATAACAGCAGATATTGACTCATCAGAGTACAATAACAGCAGATATTGACCCATAAGAGCACAATAACAGCAGATATTGACTCATCAGAGTACAACAGCAGATATTGACCCATCAGAGTACAATAACAGCAGATATTGACCATCAGACAATAACAGCAGATATTGACCCATCAGAGTGCAACAACAACTATATTGATCCATCAGAGAAAATAAATAACCATATTGACCCATCAGAGTACAATAACAGCAGATATTGCCCATAAGAGTACAATAACAGCAGATATTGACCCATCAGAGTGCAACAACAACAACGATATTGATCCATCAGAGTAAATAAACTATATTGACCCATCAGAGTACAACAACAACGATATTGACCCATCAGAGTACAACAACAACTATTGACCCATCAAGACATAACAACTATATTGACCCATCAGAGTACAAAACAATTATATTGACCCATTAGAGTACAATAACAGCAGATATTGACCCATCAGAGTACAATGCAGATATTGACCCATCAGAGTACAACAACATGAGATATTGACCATCAGAGAACAATAACAGCAGATATTGACCCATCAGAGTACAATAACAGCAGATATTGACCCATCAGAGACTAACAGTCAGATATTGACCCATCAGAGTACAATAACAACTATATTGACTCATCAGAGTACAATAACAGCAGATATTGACCCAAGAATACAATAACAAGATATTGACCCATCAGAGTACAACAACATGAAATATTGACCCATCAGAGTACAATAACAGCAGATATTGACCCATCAGTGTACAACAACAGCAGAATATTGACCCATCAGAGTAAACAACATGAGATATTGACCATCAGAGTACACAACAGCAGATATTGAACCCATCAGAGTACAATAACAGCAGATATTGACCCATCAGAGTACAATAAACAACTATAGACCCATCAGATAAACAACATGAAATATTGACTCATCAGAGTACAATACAAAAAGCAGATATTGACCCATAAGAGTACAATAGCAGCAGATATTGACCATCAGAGTACAATAACAACTAGTTGACCCATCAGAGTACAATAACAGCAGATATTGACCCATCAGAGTACAATAACAGCAGATATTGACCCATCAGAGTACAATAACAGAGATATTGACCTATCAGAGTACAATAACAGCAGATATTGACCTATCAGAGTACAACAACAACTATATTGACTCATCAGAGTACAACAACAGCAGATATTGACCCATCAGAGTACAATAACAGCAGATACTGACCCATCAGAGTACAACACCAATTTTGGCACTTTTTGGATCGTACTCTTGACGTTCACCTGACTCAGCAGCTCTAGTTATTATTATTATTATTATTATTATTATTATTATTATTATTATTATTATTATTATTATTATTATTATTATTATTATCTATGTTATCTATTCAGTTCCTTGAGTACGATGACTTCAGGTAATATTTCTCAACTGCCAAAATGTTTCCTATCAAGAAATTATTGAGTAATCGTCAATTATATATTCGACTTTTAATCAACGACATATTTCTCAGCCAAAAGTGTTTCTCATTTGTAAGTTAAAACTACAATACTTATCACTTAAATATTTCTCACTTAACCTAAACATACAAGGTTGATAATCAGAATATTTCTCACTTATAAACTATCAAACGCAACTTTCTCACCACGAACAAAGACATTTCTCAGACGTTCGGTTTGTTCCTCATCAACAAAACTGTTTCTCAACACTTAACGTCGTGTCTCAGTGGTCATACATCACCCGACTACACAATCCACCAATTAAAAGAGTAATTGAGAGAGCTGTTGGCAAGACGTAATCACTCCTGATCTTCTCTCCACTTCCTTCCTCTCCTCCCATCTTCATCCTCCTCTCCTTCACCTCCTCCCTGCTCATCCTCCTCTCTCTCCCTTTTATCTTCCCTACCTTCCCTCTCTGTCCATTTTTCTCCCTCTATTTACCATTCCGATCCATTCCACTCCTCCCTCTCACGGTCAGCTGGTAGACACATCATCGATCACCCATTGCATGTCGTCACCAGCGTTACAACATCACCATTGTCACGCCGTCACAACTGTTATGACGTCACCAGCATTACCACCGTCATTAGAGTTATCTATATCTATCTGTTTACCGTGATGTGCCTCCTTGTCACACACAACATTGAGGAAAGGCAAAGTTGACAAGTATAAATACAAAGTGAATAATCTCGGGGCTGATATACGTGGATGAAGCAAGTACGGAACACACACACACAAGAATAACTTATCGTGAACAGACAAAGTTTAGTTATGAAAGAGATTAGAAGATTATTAAGTCAATTGAGTAATTTAATAACATTTATATTAAGTATTAAGAGAGTTAATTAAGTATATTACATACACAAGTAAAACAAATATGTAATTATCAAAATAAAAGTAACACAACTATGGATCTATCAAAACACACCAAAATATTACCCAATTAGTCTTACTTTATACATTAAATACACTTACTATATACAACACAAAAACCTGATAGAAATGGCAGCTCAGGTATCAAGTCTAGGTAGCGATGAACAACCACAAGGAACCAGGAATTAACGCCGTAGTCCACCACCATCAAACCATCACAACACCACCAGTAGCAGTAGTCCTTAATACAATTCGTCGTCCACACCCCGGGAAAAAGATGAACACCTTTAGCCACAGAGAAGAAACTCAGCTTACCAGGCAGACACACTAATCTCGATACCTCGGTCTCATAGTCAGATGGGAAACTGGTTCTGAATCGGTGTTCACCATGAGTAGCTTCGTGAAGCAGTTTCTTCTCCTGGTGTCAAGTTGGAGCAAGTGACGGTTATGGTGGTAGAGTGAGAGGGGGACAGAGTCGTCACACTGTCTGCCTGTCTGTCTGTCTGTATGCCTGTCTGTCTATCTCATGTAAGTTGAAATAAGTTGAAGGTTTCACTAATTTTCCTCCTGATGGATGAGAGAGGAGGAAAAGGAAGGAGAGGAGGATGAAGAGGAGGTGCATAAGAATGAAATGGATGGCATAAATTTGTAGTAGTAGTAGTAGTAGTAGTAGTAGTAGTAGTAGTAGTAGTAAATCAATAACAACATAAAATAACTATATTAAAACAGACATAACGACGTCACTTTTGATTACCAACAAAAATAAACAAATACACCTACAAGAAATTAAACAAAGAAACACATATCGCTATATTATTCAACACAATACAGACACGATATATCATCGCCCTTAATTTTCCACTTCTTTCTCTCTTAATTATGGTCCCTGGCTCTAATTTTACACTAATGACACTCATCTTGACGTGTTTTCACCCCAAATTAGTCTAAGCGCGTAAATAACACGGGAGGTCAGGTCAACAGAGGTCAAGGTTAATCAGCTTCCCCATGGTTGTGAGCTGAGGCGAGACAGATCAACCAAACGATGTCAAAAGGTTAGGATGACATTCTGCTGCCCCCACACTGTCAGACATCATACACACACACACATACAATCACACACACACACACACACATCCTCGTTGACCTCTTCCGTAACGAATAGGCCTACAGATCAGGTCACGAACCCCTTGTTTGACCTTTGGAATTTTACGCTTCGACCTATCTCGTTTGCTGACCTCTCCGTAGCGAATGTTCTATACGAGAGATCACCAGACTTCATGACCTTCGAAATTTCACGCTGAGGATCGTCTCGTTCGCTTGACCTCTCGTAACGAATCTCCCAAACGAGGTCATGACCCCTGTTTGACCTTGGGAATTTTACGCTAGGACCCTAGTAAGCCGGACCAATGATCTAAATCGGATAACGACTCCCTGATGACCAAGGTTTGACCGCTTGAATTTCAGTGGTTACAATCCAGGGAAGGTTAGCGTTGACAAAGGAGAGAAAGAGAAAATGAGGAAGTTTGGAGAGAGAGAGAGAGAGAGAGAGAGAGAGAGAGAGAGAGAGAGAGAGAGAGAGGGTTAAAAAGATACCTGAATAATTTGTCAAAGAAAACGAGAAACACGAAACACATAGATGCAAAGATGACAGAAAGCACACACACACACACACACACACCTGAGAGAACATTTTTCATGGCAGATCGACGTCAACACTCACTTAACTTAGGGACCATCTTGGCTCAGGTGCCAATGGTGAGGGGGGAAGTCGTGTTTGTGTTTCCAGAAGATGAAAAAAGATCCTGTCCCTGTAGTCATGATCACAACCATGGACATGGGTACATTGACTGGAGGAGGGAGGGGAGAGGGAGGAAGGGGCGAGGCGGGGGGACGAGGAGGGAGAGACGAGGAGGGAGAGGGCGAGGTGGGAGGACGAGGAGGAGGGGGGCGAGGGGAGGGACGAGGAGAGAAGGGGATGAGGAGGGAGAGGACGAGGAGGGAGACGAGGTGGGGAGGGACGAGGGGAGGAGGGGACGAGGTGGGGAGGGACGAGGGGGGAGAGGGAGGAGGGAGGGGAAGGGGACGAGGTGGAGGGGGGAGAGGGAGAGGACGAGGGGAGGACGAGGGAGGAGAGGGACGAGGAGGGGAGAGGGGCGAGACGGGAGGGAGAGAGGGGAGGGAGAGGGGAGGGGATGAGAGAGAAGGGGACGAGGGAGGAGAGGGACGAGGAGGGGAGGGACAGGGGGAGGGACGAGGAGGGAGAGGACGAGGGGAGGACGAGGAGGGAGAGGGACGAGGAGGGGAAGGGGATGAGGTGGGGAGGGACGAGGAGGGGAGGGGACGAGGAGGAAGGGGGCAGGTGGAGGGGACGAGGGAGGAGGGCGAGGGGGAGGGAGAGGAGAGAAGGGACGAGGAGGGGAGAGGGGACGAGGAGGAGGGATGAGGGGAGGGACGAGAGGGAGAGAGGGATGAGGGGAGGGACGAGGAGGGGAGAGGGACGAGAGAAGGGGACGAGGGGAGGGGGAGGAGGAGAGGATGAGGGGAGGATGAGGAGGGAGAGGGACGAGGAGGAGAGGGCGAGGCGGGGAGGACGAGGAGGAGAGGGGATGAGGGAGGGAAGGAGGGAGGGGAGAGGGACGAGGGGGAGGGACGAGGAGGAGAGGGACGAGGAGAGGGAGGATGAGGAGGGAGAGGGACGAGAGGGAAGGGGACGAGGTGGGGAGGATGAGAGGGGAGAGGGACGAGGGGAGGGATGAGAGGGAGAGGGGAGGAGAGGGGACGAGGGGGAGGACGAGGAGGAGAGGGACGAGGAGGGAAGGGGCGAGGGGAGGGGATGAGAGGGAGAGGGACGAGGGGGAGGGACGAGGAGGGGAGAGGGACGAGGAGGAAGGGGCGAGGTGGGAGGAGAGGAGGAGAGGACGAGGAGGGAGAGGACGAGGAGGGAGGACGAGGTGGGAGGGACGAGGAGGAGAGGACGAGGTGGGGAGGGACGAGAGGAGAGGGGACAGGAGGGAAGGGGACGAGCGGGAGGGGGGAGGAGGGAGAGGGACGAGGTGGGGAGGGACGAGGAGGGAGAGGATGAGAGAGAAGGGACGAGGTGGGAGGGATGAGGAGGGAGAGGGACG